GTAAGGGTTTGGGGCTACTATTATACCTACCTTAGGGGCTTTAGGTACAACTTTCCAAGCTGGAACCTTGTGCTGTTAAGGGCTCTAGGTTCAAGATGTGGGGATGGGAGCGGGACTAGGGGATGGGAGGCCGGATATCAACGACTTTTTCAAGGGTGATAGGCTTCCAGGTCGATGGTTCAAGGGTCTTTCAGGCAAGTCGTGATCTTAGCTGTTGGACGATAGGGGCCGGGATATCCGCAAGTGTAGTTGCAAGTTGTGGGCGTTCACAATTCTACTAGGTAATCAGCAAGGATGAAGACCAACTTCCTGAAAGACATATTATGTGCATCAGTGGAGCTGAAGGTTGTATGTTCTCGAATTAGGAATCTGGGATCTTGAGCTTACCTGCAACAAAATACTGGAAGCCCAGCAGCTTCAGCCTGCTTGCACTGCTCCTTGCAGTCTGTGAAGCGGCAGGCAACAAGCTTGTTACCCTAAACCTTGGGTACTGCCCCCCCTCAGTAACAGTTGGATAATAATTAGAATATGGTTATATATAGCCCTTAATAGGACCCCTAATATAGACTGTTACTGGGTGGGGGCATTACCCAACCTAATCGCAAATCCACTCCAAGTGGCATCCCTAGCCCGCCCCGTCAGAGCCTACAGGGACAGTTAAACTGTGGTTCATGCTGACTCACGCCTTGGCCCCTTCAACCTTCTACTTCTCAAAAACTGAACCATATGGTGGACTCCATATGAGCTATAGTCTAAACTCCTTAAACGGGGTTATATGGGGGATTATATGGGGGACTACTATAGGGCTTGTTAAGGGGGATACTAGAAGTTTAGACTATGGCTCATATGGTAGTTCCCCAAAGTAGGGAGACCCCAATGTAGACCCCAAAATACTCTAATCCTTTTTGTGGGACCTCCAAAGAGGTGCCCCTAATTCTCGGAACCCCCCATATTCCACGTGCCCCTGAAACCCGAGGTCAGCTAAGAGGTCCGCCTAGCGGTTGGTCCGGACCTCAGCCAGAGAAGACTGCACAGCTTGCAAGAGAATTGAGAATACCCACGCTCAGCAAGACAAGTTGGGGACATGAGGGCTAATGGTTTAGCGTTAAGATTGAAGGAATGGGAGGTTGATGTTTTGGCTGTTCTGGCACCTTGCGCTTGGCAAACAGGGACTTTGTGGGGAGGTTTGCGCGAGTGCAGGGGTGAACAGGCGAGATAGCTAGTTGATAATAACTCCCCCCCCCCTGTTTGTCTGAAGACTGTTTAGTAGGGAGTCAACATAGGTCCTTTAAGGACACAGTGAATCTTGGACAGGGTTCAACCTTGCGATCGCTACCTAAACCCGCCTTGTGGAACCCACTTAACGCTCAACTAAAACCCCCAGCTCTAAACCCCAAACCATCAAGCCGCAGACCTTCACCCCCCTAGCCCCTAAACCCTCCTGAACCACCGTACGCCCTAAACCCTCAAAAACAAGATTCTAGATATCACATTAGTACCCTTCTTCCCTTTTTTACTTTGGGGTCTGCCGGTTAAAGCTGAACATTGCGAAAAAGCGTACCCTTATTACGGGGGAACCTAGAAACCCTCAACACCTAAACCTAAACCTTATTAGTCAGGGGTCACTGGGGAACCTGATCAGAGAAACCCGAAATCCTAAATCCTAAACCCTGAATCCTAGACCTTAAATCCTAAACCCCAAATCCTAAACCCTAAATCCTAAACCCTAAACCTTGAACCCTAAACCCTAAACCCTAACTGAGGATGGGCAACGCCCCATCGCCATGGCCGATGCATCCTGGGCCGCCTCCCGCAGGGTATCCTCCGTTTGGGGCTCAATTAGGGCTAAACCCTGAAGCCCAGGTACTCATATAGTAGGTCCTTGGGTTACAGATAGTATAAAACTATATAAGGACTTAAGGATAGAAACCCAATATATAGGTAACTGGGCTTCTAGGGTAATGTAGACCCTTAGGATCCTTTTTATAATCCCTATTAAGGGGAGGGGGTTTATTAATCAGGGCTCTGGCTTAGGGTATACTTAGGGTGTATGGTTTGGGGCTGAGGGTTTAGGGTTTAGGGCTCCGGGTTCGAGGTTTAGGGTTCAGGGCTTAGGGTTTGGGCTTAGGGTCTAAGGTTACAAGTCCCAATTAGGGCTTAATGTCGACCCGTGATTAATTCGGATCCCTACCGTCATCCCTATTAAGGGGAGGGGGTGTATTAAACAGGGGGCTGGCTTAGGGTGTATGGTTTGGGGTTTAGGGCTTAGGGTGCACTTAGGGTGTAGGGTTTGGGGTTTGGGGCTTAGGGTCTAGGGCTTAGGGTGTACTTAGGGCGTAGGGTTTAGGGCTTAGGGTTTAAGGTGTAGGGCTTAGGGTGTACGGTTTGGGGTTTGGGGCTTAGGGTTTAGGGTTTCGGGTTTGAGGTCTATAGGGCTCATGGTTTTTTGGGGCTAGGGTTTAGGGTTTAAGAAGGGTTTGAGGGTTTGGGGCCTGGCCTTACTTGGTTATCATAATTATAACTGGGGGAATCTGTATGAAGCGATTGGGTTTTCGGATACGTGTAAGTATTTTATGTATAAAGGAAGAGATTTAGGGAGGGAGGGAGATGGACTGAGCTGTCCCTGTAGCCCTTAGAAATGCAGTTTGGCTCCTGGCACTCTTCGCCTGCTTTGAAACTCAATTTGGTTTCAGTTTACCTTGAGTTCATACAAGGCCTAATACGCTACTTGGAACGCGTTTTTAGCGCTTGGGGCTGAGCAGAGGGATTCTGCCGAGTAGGTTGAGCCCAGTTTTGCAAGCCACTGCCGCACCATGAGACCCTTAAGATCTAGCACTTGCCACTGTTCGTCTTCAAGCTAGGCAGTAGAGTACACAGAAACGTCCCTAAGCCCTCATCGCAGCACGGAAGACACTCAAAGCCTGCATCCTCTGGCTCCTGCCCCATAACAGATAATCTTGACATGATCTTACTATGTCATTCCTATTCTTCTTGTTCTTCCTTTTATTGGTTGTATTATATTCGTCTTTAGGCGGGATCATGGTGATTATATTAGGGCCCCCTTTTATTCCCACTATACCACCTAAACCTTAAACCCTACCTGGACCCCCAAAGTATGCAAAATAATGGCCTTTATGGCGGTCATTATGAGTTAAGGCTATTCTTTGGCATACTTTTAGGGTTTAGGTAAGCCCAAACCCTGTCATTTTTCATCGTTCTACCGATTGCTTTTTGGAAGCTGAGGCCCAGGCCGCCCGAGACCTGGAGGGGTCCCTACGTAGCTGGGTGCGGGCCCAAGCAGTCGGGGTTATTCAAAATTAAAGTAATTGCCTAAAAAACGCCGAAAAGACAACTGTTTCTGAATATTTTGGGGGGCTTCAGGTAGAGCTTGCTGGAGTTGAGGGTTGATGAGGGTTAGTAGGGTGGAGTTCCAGATTCAGATTCAGGGGTTCAGGGTTCAGGGTTTGGAGTTCAGGGATGTTCAGCATCGTAGGGTTCGGGTGGAACAGGGATATGGCTTCAAGGCGAGTCTAGAGTCTAAAGGGGCTATCAGGATGACCTCTGGGTTTGGATGGATGTTGCAGGCCATGTGAGGGATGGGGAATCACATAAAACACGTGGGGAAGTTGGGAGAGAGAGCTTAATGTTTATCCGGGCTCAGGTTCTTTCAGGTTTCCAGTTGAGAATTTGTCGATGGGGGATGGCCTGACCCAGACCCTTCAATGGGATCTGAATATCAGATCCCCTACATAAATCCATAACAAGGTCATATAAACCTTGTAGCATAGAACCCTAGATGATTCCCAACATGATTCCAGGATATCCAATGTTTAGATCCTTTTTGGGTCTGGGGTTAGTGCTTCAGCGTAGGGTAGACAAATATCAGCGCCTTTCCTCGAGCAATTCTTACCGATGGTTAGTAGGAAGCAACGTAATACATTCCCTGTATACTATACGTACTTCCTTTTCTCCTACTAACCACCAGTACGAAAGGCAAGCACCTTTCCTGGAGCGATTGCGTTTTGGAACTGGACCACCTCCTTAGTTTCTTCTTGCCCTCAAGCCCCATCCCGAACCTGTGTTCTGCACTGAGCTTTGGGCTCAGCTCTACAAAAGTGAAACGCATGCGAGACTTTTCATGCCTTGCAATCATGACAGGCATTTCCTAAAGCCAACACCCAGCTGCGAAGGCCACCACCTTCGCAGCCGCCGCCACAGCCACGCAAAGGCAGCTAGGGGGGGTTGGGAACAGGAAGGGGCTCTTGAGTCGGGGTCTTAACCGTGTTTCGAAATTCAATGGCCTGACTGAGATGGCCACCGAAAGGCTGTCGTTTCTATATGCTTACATGTATATACACGCACATGTACATATGTATATATATGTAAAGAGCAGATTCTTTCTGGGTTGCAGACATGCTTGCTAAAAAGCGGGTGGCCTTTTCTTGGTGTCACCTCCTATGGTCTTCGATTGCAGGCCCTGACTTGGTAAGTTACCCAAATCATCCTTGCCCACTGGGATAAACTGGCCTACATCATTGGGTTGCTGTTAAGGAACTTAAAATGAAAGGCCATAGTATGGGTACCTTGTAAACAGTGGGTTTCCTCATTATGAAATTAACTTGGTTGAAATTTCTTAACAGCAACCCAGATAAGGACTCCACCACCCCTCCTTTGAGCGCCACATAATTGGACAGGCCACAGGCTCGAGCGGAATGAGAATGGCGGTGTGAGCATCGTCGTGATGCAGGCATCCATGGGTCTTGGACATGCACGCTGAGGAATGTTGGGTTTAGGTCTTGCAGGTTTGCATTGGTGGCCGACGCCTACAGGCTTCGTAGGAGTCGGGCTGTGATCATCAATTATCCCAACATTGGGGGCCGTAGGTGGTGCACGTCCGTAAAGGTGTAGCCGTTTCGGTTCCAAAGCATTTGTACCTGCACTGTTCCAACGCCACGGACTCCATGAAGTCGCGAGAACCATCATACGGCTCCTGCGCACTGATGTGGGCGCTGCTTGTTGCCTTGGCCGCTTGTGGAGGCAGCGGCGTGTCACTCTGCGGTTGGCGCGGTTTTTTCTTGCCAAGACTTCCGCCTCGAAAGTTGGCGAGGGATCTTGTTTGTCCACCGCCGGAGTGCAAAACTGCAAGGGCAGTGCGTGAACCGAGGCGGGGAGGTCAAAACCACCACAGGAGCCGCGGGCCTGATCCCAGGGTGCTGACATCAAAAATCTCACGGGCCGAATCTGCAGCTGCAATCCTCGACCTTCTGGCTGCGGAGATAAACAGTGAGATCTTCAACGACTTCCACATGTCCGCAGCCTTCTGCCGATTGGCTAAATTCAGCCAACAACGTCGGCTCAGCCAGGCAGATGCACGCAACCGAATTTGGTCCCAGTTGATGGCACGGCTACGCGGCATGCTCATGGAGGACGCCTTGAGTGCACGCGTTGCTGCAAATGTATTCTGGGCCAACGGCGAACTTTATGAAAAAGTGCGGGGAGGCGAAGCCACACTGCTTGCAGAGCTGGGAAAGTATGTCCAATCCAAATCCCATGCCATGAAGGTGCAGGAGCTATCAAACTGCTTGTTGGCTGGAGCGAAGCTAGGACGTGCTTTCCCCGAGGTACTTCCATTTCTGTCAGGCATTGCAGAATGCATACCTCAGTAGGTAGAGGACATGAAGCCTCAAGAAATGTCAAACAGCCTGTGGGCAGCGGCAACACTGCAAGATGCCGCACCGAATGTTCTGAAGGCCGTGCCGTCCATTGCAGCTCGCGTGTCTCGACGAGCAGGAGACATGGATCCTCAAGCGCTGTCCAACAGCCTTTGGGCCGCTGCGAGACTGCAAGAGGACGTACCGGAGATCTTGACGGCTGTGCCAGCTATTGCAGCCAATGTTCGGCACAAGGCCAATGCCATGATCCCTCAACATTTGGCAAACAGCTTGTGGGCCGTAGCCAAGTTGCAAGATTCATCACCGGATGTGATGAATGCTGTGCCGGCCATTGTAGCCCGAATACCTGACAAGGTAGGGGGCATGATCCCCCAGGCTTTGTCGAACATCTTCTGGGCAGCCGCAGCGTTGCAAGATGCAGCACCCAAGGTGCTAAAAGCCGTGCCAGCCACTGCATCTGGAATCTCTCGACGGGCAGGAGACATGGATCCTCAGGCGCTGTCCAATAGCCTTTGGGCAGCTGCGAGACTGCAAGATGACGTGCCGGAGGTGCTAACAGCCGTTCCGGCTGTGGCAGAGTGCATCCCTTCAAAGGTGGGAGACATGGTTCCGCAAGCACTCTCAAACAGCTTGTGGGCAACTGCAAAGTTGCAAGATGTGGCACCAGGAGTCCTTGTGGCATTGCGTGTCCTCGCCAAACACACGACCTTAAAGCTGGTGGACATGGACCTTCAGGGGTTGCGAATGTCTCTGTGGGCTGCTTCAGAGCTTGGAGAGGATGAGCTAGAAGAGCATATCAAGGAGGAGCTTTCCAAACGCAAGCAGTAGTTGGTCCGAGTGCGCGCGCAGCCTGTAGGAGGGATGCATCGCTAGTAGCATAGTTTCGAGCACCGTCGTGATATACCTCATCATTCACAGTCCACATGCAAACCTCTCTCCTACTCGGAACAACCTTTTTGAAGCTGATTTGTCTTCGGCCTAGTGCGGCCTTCGATGTTCTGTATGGCGCGCACCAACCCAGCACAGTGCCCGCCCCAGGAGCACGGCCAGGGTTCGAGTGAGCCACCATATAGATCATCAAGGAGACCGCCAGTTCCATGAGTGCATGCTATGAGGCGGAAAACAGAGTCATGCTTGGGTTGGCACTGATGTTTAATTATTGGGTTGGCACTGATGTTTAATTATTGGGTTGGCACTGATGTTTAATTATTTGTTTCGTCAGTTAACACACAATTGAACCAAATCCCACGCATTCAACCAGGCACGAGAACTATGAGATTTTTCTGGATCAGGCATGCTACCTGCAAGGTAAGGACCTCCAGCTCACAGGGAAGGCGGTTGTTTTGACACATCAGGTTGTGCATGTGCTTGTGTACACCTGCGGGCACGTGGTTCAAACATTGGCACGCCGGAGAATCTCCCCCCTTCTGTGCATGAGCCTCTGCAGCCCCATAATGATGATGATTAGCTGATACCCTGATGTATTAAATGGTTGTATATATATATATGTATAAGGAGAGAGAGAGAGAGAGAGATATATATATATATATATACATATACATATATCTCTTAATATTATGCTATGTGCCTTTTTAAGGTTTTAGTAGGAGGAAGAGATTACTGTTGTGGACAGTTGCCAGGTGCCCCCCAGCGTCAACAAGATGGACGTGCTAAACGAGTATTTCGGGCGATTCGGGCCAGGGCCTTGGAGCTTCGGGCTTTGAGACTGGAAGAGCTGTGGGGGGGGGGAGCTGGGGGAGCTGTGGGGGAAGAGGGGTTTAGGCTGAAGAGGTAAATAGTAAACAAGGGGTGGTGTATTGCATTCCTGGAACTTAACACTGAATGAACACTGACCTCTGAAGTAGCTATGCAATGCCCGTTGGGGTCCTGAAGAACTTGTACGGAAACTACCTACAGCGCCAAGTATCTTGGCAGCTGTCTTTCAAAACGCAGAGGCCCCAGCAGCAATCCCAAATGAAGAGACTCCATATTTCAGCAGCCCCAAGGGGACGCCCTGTCATTCTCAGAAACCTACGTATATACACCTAGGCTACATGGGATGTTAGAGGAGCGTGCGCGTGTGTGTGAGGCCGGTGTCATCTCTGCAGATCAATCAAATGCGGCACGAGGCCTTCTGGGGGATTCAGTCTTCTGGACTGCGGGCTTGGCTGTGAGGGAATCGACTTTATCATTCGAGTTGGATGACCACTCCGTGCTCCTGCGCAAGTGTCGCATGCTAGTATGATAAACGCCAGTTAAACATACAAGCAAATCCTGGACATGCCATTGTCCGCACATGTAGATTTCCTACATGACGGCTCCTTCCGTAGGTGCTGAGATCGTGGAGCTTTGCATTTCAAAAAGGAAGCCCATTTGGCAATTGAAGTGTATGACAGGCAATCGTGACCTTTAGCCGGATGGAAGACGCAGAGGAGGCTGGCAAAGTTGGGGCAACGCATGGCCCATGACAAGCAGAGTTATCTAGACATTTGTGGAGGTGCACGGCGTTTAGTTTAGACAAAATGCTCTGATACAGTTGGCTGGCCGCGTAAGTAAGGTTAAGTGGGGAAGCCGAGTAGCAGCTTGCACAGCCAAGTCCACAAATCCAATCCTCAAAGCTTTGCCACGTGCAAATTCACTGTCAACGCTGTGCTTAAAGGCGTGGGACAGCTTTTTGGATCAGCAATGCGAAGGAATTCAAGCTTCGACTGGCGCAAGGACAGTTCTGCAGAAACCTGAATACTTGAGCAATTAGTAGTAATGTCCTTTGTGTTGTAGTAGGTAGCTTTTTGTTGAATTATGTAGGCTCCGACAGTACACAAGACTTCAATGCAAATGCTCCGGGCAACCACCTCTCCAAGAAGCCCAGGGAAACCTACCCTCCCCCAAACTAACATGGAACTCCAGAAGGTGCCCGTTCAACGCTACTGCCCTATTTTTGGGGGCATGGGTGGGGGTGGGCAAACCCAATACAATCAACATCTAGTCCCATCCGTAATCCCTGTATAGCCATATCGAGTCCCCGGATAACGCGTACATGAGAAAGCCCTTGAAGGAAGGCTTCAGGGTTGGGCTTCTGTGGTTGCGGTCTAGGGTTCAGGGTTTGGGTTTAGGGCTTAGGGTTTAGGATGGTTTAGGGACTAGGGTTTCGGGGAGAGGTTGCATCGCGGGGTTGTTGTGCTTGAACATATGGTTTCCGGGTACTCACTGGAATTGGAAGTCGATGCAGTTGCAACACGCCTTCTCCTCCCAACTCAACCATCGATCTATATTTTGGGTTCCTGCCAACTACACTTCTATAAGTAACCCAAATGAAGCAACATGAACGTATTTGTTAATTTCATGGCCTGTTCCGACCAGAACCATTTCTTAAGCTTGTGGTCAACGTACTGAGGACCACAACAACAGTTCGGGATCACAACAGTGATTGCATGTAAGCCTAAACTTTGAACGGAGAACCGTCAGACCGGATTGTTACCAAGACCTACATTTTTTCTTGCTTTGACAAGGCCATGCGCTTTCCAGTGCTGAACGACCCTGGCATAGGCTCGTGCTGCCTGTGCGGTCGGTTGTTTCGACGCTTCATACTCAGGAGCTCTAAAGATCATCATGATGTAGGAAGGTGCTGTAATGTATTCATGGGTTTCAGGGTTCAGGGGTTATCCGGGATTATTACGGAGTTCACGAAAGTTTCATATATCTGGGTGAGCATATGCATCTATGATTTTAGCTTCTGCCAGCTGCACGTCTAGAGACTTCAATTCGGGGACAAGGGCTCCACCTAAGACACCAAGAGCTCGAAGATTTCGAGCCTCCCAACTGGAACAGTTCAGCTATGGTTTGGGGTATAGGGTCAAGGGTATTGAAGATTTAGTGTTTAGGGGATTGTTCAATTCGCGCACACGTACATTCAACAATCATGGTAGCTACAGCCTTCCAGAGTAACAGGACCTGGAACCTTGTTAGAGCCATCAGGTCCAGTGACATGGTGGTGCTCTCTTCACTCTCCACACCGCGCTCAAAAAGCGTCTGCTGAAGCACCACACCCCGAATCTAAAACCCGTACACTCTGTGTTCACAGGCCCGTCCTCAGCCCCTCCTACCTCACATGACAATGCACCCACAGCCCTCTATCCTAAAGCCCCAACCTTGAACCCCAAACCCATTTCCACTGCCAGTCTCGCGCAAGGCTTGAGACCGTGGCGCGGGAAGGTTTGTGGCTCAGAAGTGTAAGTTCAACCACCAGGTTACTGTTTCCTGTTAAGAAACTTGAAGTAACCAGCCATCCCCATAAAACCCAATTTTGAAGACATGTTACTACTTCCCCTTGAAAGCTTTCTGTGTGTGGTATTGTTCCCAAACTGGCCTGGAAGCAATTCGGGGATTTTCATATGTATTGTCGCCTTATTTGGCGTCCCTAGAATGAGAATCGTCTTATTTTGGGGTTCAAATTGGGAGAGCTCACATTTGGAGACCCCCACTTAGTGGATGGAGATTAGAGTGGTGCCTTGGCATGGCATAGCGTCTCACTTTTTACGACAACTGACTGCCCTCAATGCTCAACCCACCAATGGGGACAAGAGCTTTGCTTGTCTTTCAGGATATGCCGTGTGTCGGTTTGAAGCTCCAGCGTTTTTGTACGGCATGCTTGGACATAGTAGTTAACACTCTGTATAGACAGACGTTGAGCACCAGGGCAGGATAGCATGCAGTGCAGCGTTAAACTCCATCTGCTGTAAGCATAGCACCCGCCAGCACAACATTGAAAGATACGCCACAAACGTTGATCTTAATTGTGTAGGACTTTCGAAGAGGTTGTGCGGCTGGTCCGACCTGAAAATCTGATTCTAAACGCGTTTGTCGCAGACTTTTGGAATTTGACGGCCGCAACCCAGCACAAACCCCGCGGGGCCAAACACACCCTCAGCAAGAACGACCTTGGTTTGCATCGGGAGCTGGGTGACCGAGGGGGTTGGAATAGCGACCTACAAGAAAAACCATGGGTTGAACCTGAGCCCGCCAAAGTAGGTAAAGTAATGGCCTTCTGGGCTGTTGCTAGGGTTTGGGGCCATTTTTGTTTCCTATCTTGGAGGTTCAGGGAGTAGGTAAAGTAATGGCCTTCTGGGCTGTTGCTAGGGTTGAGGCCACTCTATTTTCCTACTTTGGGGAAGTTTCGGGGAAGTCTTGCTTGCATGGCCGCCCCCGATTTGCGAGTCTAACCCAGGCTGGCCAGCGAGCACCGGACGATGTGCCCGCTGAGGCTTGGGTTTTGCTACTTGTTCTAGGGGTCCAAATATACAAAACTCACCTACATTGGGCCCTCTAGTCTATGAACTCTATAGTAGTACTAGAACTTAGCCCCAATGATGGAGAATCAAATGGAAAAGATCATGGAAATGAAACGGAAACTGGGGATATGAAGGGGCCTGTATAGGGATCCAAGTGTACAAATATCACCTACACTGGGCCCTTCAGTCCATAGATATTACCTACATGGTGCCATTCGGAACTTGAGGGCTTTAGACACCCTGAATCCTAAACCCTAAACCGCAGGTTAGACGGATCAGGTAATGAGAAGAATTATGGTTGAGGAATTTGATTTTCAAAGGTTGAGAATGAGGGTCAAATGATATGTGTACCTGGGTTGTAAAAGCAGGGTCTGTCGTGGCTTGGAAATAGTCAGTAAGGTCATGGTCACGGATTGGCATCCGTTCACCGGCCTTGTAGCCATTCAAGGACACTTGCGCACTGTTCTTGCGCAGGTGGCTGTAGCTTAACAGAAAACATGCGAGAAATCATTGAGGAAACTGCGGAGAATAGCAGGGTCC